TCAGCGCTGTTATTAGACCCACAATGGAGGGTTGTCCGTACACGTGCGACATTGTCGAGAGAAGGTTCGTCTGTTTTTTTGTCGTAAGGCCAGGTTCATACTTTGTGGCACAGCCATCAGCGACCAGCAATGTTTCCAGCGTCCGTCAGCGTTTGGAAAAGTATGGATGACGATCTATAGGAATGCAGCGTTCACCAGCGACCACAAGCATCCCCAAGCGATCAGGAGTACCTGTATTGTGAAGTTGTACGGTGCGGTTTCACACGCCACAATTCCATGACTAATCCAGGCTCTCTCCTCTACTTCTCCATACACTCTACTCCTGGTCGCTGGTGGACGCTGGTAGACGTTGAATCGATATCCATAGTTTCCTAGTCCCTCGAGACGCTGATGGTCGCTGGCGGACGCTGGTGAACGCTGGTACAATCCGTCGTTCACTATCGATATCTGTACTTTCCCGCTGACGTGACGGTCGCTGGAAACGCTGCTCGTCGCTGGTGGACGCTGCTGGTCGCTGCCGTAAAGTATGAACGCAGCCTTATGCGGAATTTCCAGTGACTACGATGGTGAGCGACTTCCTTCTGCGTATATATTTCATGGGCGAAATATATTAGCATGTGACTTGCCTGAGCGATATTCTCATCAGCTGATGGTGCTTCTATTATTTGAACCTCCGCCCAACGCCGGCATCTTTCGTACAGAGGTCAGTTCGGAAAGAAGCTGAGGAAGTCTTTAGCTTCAGAGTCCTTCTGTTAGTAATTTAAGACCTAATTCATTGCTTTTACTTTTCTCACAAACACCCTTGTGTCGCAATGTTGCGAATTTAGGACTAAGGGACTATACAGTATCCCGTGAAATGATGAGCCGTGAAAGCACAGGACATTCCCCTTAGCCAGGGCCGTGGCGCAGCGTTCCATGACCTTAACTACGGGCTGAATTTGCTTTGAGCTCCTTCTCTGTCTCACCCTTGAGCTTTTCTGGCTCACGGAACCAGAATTTAATTTCACGCGCAGTTCTAGAACATTGTACTCACCCTGTTATCCTGAGCTTACAATCTTTTCCCTTTCCGTCATGGTTAGTCAGAACATGGAGTTCTAAAATTGAGTCCACACTATTCTTCCGAAACGAGGCATGTGCAGTCATTCAGCAAGTATGCGTTCCTCAAGGGTGCGATCACTTTCTTGAAAACGTAAAGAGTGGGCAAAAGTGCGCCTGTGAGGAAAGCACGATGAGTGACTGTCTCCACCCACACGATCGGCGTGGACTGCGCCTTCGACTGCATGCATGGCAGTAGATTTCACTTTCAGCTTCCTGTCGATTATTTCAACGCAACGATGACTTACAGAAACGATTCTGATTATCCGTATCCTTACGGCATATTTGTAAAACGTACGGGAAACGACATTAGAGAGACGGTTATTACAAAGGAAGAGATGAGTTTCCCCACTTTTGGCAGATGATATGACGATTTGCGTGCAATTTTTTTTGCGTATGAGTACCTAAAGGGTGCCGGAAGATATTGCTCACTTTGTTACATGGGAGTGGTTTTCCAGATTGAAAGAGCCTTGCCCCAAAAGACGAAAGGAGCGCTACTGCTCATGAGTCACTGTTCTACTGTATCCAGTCGAGAATCAATTATACAGTAAGTTTGACGGCGACAATCACCTTATAATACAATCTTTGTGGTCATTGTTCTACCAGTAGGTGATATCTAAACCCGAAATCTTTTCCCTAACCTTTTCGAACAGAGACGGTGACATGCACCCGACACTTTTCCTCTCCGATACTACCTTCCTTCCACAACTGAACACATTTACCTTATCAAAGTTAGGGGGTGGAGAAGGGGGAGCGGCAGTCACCTCCGACCAACTACCAGAAATAGTTATTTTTCTCGCCTCGAACTAAGGCAGCATGCGAGATCAAATGCGACCCCTTCGTTGAGGAATGCCAGCGATGGTATGCCCCCGGGGCTGCTCGTCATCACAGCATTGTGAGGAGCGTCGCAATGGTGAATGTATTACGTTTGTGACTCTCCGCCCACTGCTCCTTTATCTCAGATTGTGCCTTTGAGTCGAAGATTCATGTGATGAGCACCCTCGTTGCCAGTAGAGACAGGCGAACGTTGAAGGAATTTTCAAGCCTCGAATATCATTTTTAGGAGACTATCAACCAAAGTCGATATCACAGTAGGAGGCCGATGCAGCCGCTACTTCCCAGCTGCTGAAAAAGCGCGCTGTCCAAAGTCAATGAAAGGTGGTCAGTGCGAGAAGGATCTCATCGGTTTGTTTAATATAACCATTCATTTCACAATTTGAGCACACATTTGAGCTCAACTTTGGTAAGTCGTGGAGGCTGCTGTCAATTATAAGCAAAGCCTCTGATGCTGCACACCTTCACATTAGGCTGCGTTCATGCTTTACGGCAGCGTCCACCAGCGTCCAGCAGGGTCCAGCAGCGTCCAGTAGCGTTCCGAGCGTCCGGCAGCATCAGCGACAGGCAGACGACACATCATTGGTTGGGAATTTTAGTCAACTCTATGCGACCCCCGCCCTTTTTTCGGGAGTTGGTATGACCCCCCCCACCCTCTCCCAGCCCTCTGTCCTTCATGGAATCGAGCCGTCGAGCGGGGGGCATATAGTACGCATGAAACAGGAAAATCACCAATCGCCACTCCCACAACGCCAAAACGTAAATACGACCCCCCTCCCTTTACAACGTCCATGAAGCGAGAAAAATCAACTATCAAAATAAATTTTTCTCAGCCCAAATACGACCCCCCCTTCTGGGGATTCCCCAACAACGATGTGCCCTGATTCAGCGACCAAGAAACTACAGGTATCGATCTTGCGTTCACTAGCGTCTCGATGGCTGAAGCGTAGGTATCGATATAGCGTCTGCCACCGTCTGCCAGCGTCCACCAGCGTTCACGACCGGGAATAAAGTGTATTAGGAAGTAGGAGGGTAGCAAACAGCTGAATTAGGCGTCGTGAAACTGCGTTGTGTGCAGCAACCGTACAATTACACTATACCGTACATTAAATTCCATGATTCCGTGCTTTAGGTGCGGTGTGCGGTGCGGTTGGACACGCCGCAACTTTAAGACGCAATCCAGAAATTTGCTACCCACCTACTTCCCAGTAATTTACTTTCGGTTACTGGTGAACGCTCGTGGACGTTAGATCGATCTATACTTTCCCTGGTCACTGAATCTGCCGGACGCTCGAAACGATATTGGTCGCTGGTGGACATTGGTGGAAGCTGGTGAACGCTGCCGCAAAGTGTGAACGCAGTCTAATTAAAAGAGCCGCGAACGTGTGCGATGTTCTAGTTTACGTGAGGTCCGCTGCTGCCCACCGAGAAAATGCCACTGAAAAGTCCCCAAAATTTCATATCTGAAACTCAGTAGAAGTAGGCCTAGTAACTTTGAAAACTACCACTTAAAAGTAGATCCCTGAGCTTCTTGATATTTTTCCATAAGGGCTCCTCAAAAGAACTTTTTCAGCGACACACCGATTTTATATTGCATTTGAGAATAGCATATGCCGCAACTACATAACGGAGAAGTTTTTCAAACGTATCTCTCAACTTTTAGTTCCAATCGTGCTGGAAAGGAAATTTTACGAAGGTAATTTCAGAAGCATAAAGGTGCTAATGTAGTTGGGAGCCTCTGTATCCCAAAAAGGCTTCGGCTTAGAGCGCAGACAACACGTGACAAGGATAGTCACGGATAAAAGACGTAGTCTTCTCTGACAAGGAGATTAAGGCTTGAGTGGGGGAAGGGATACGGAAGGCGCTGGCGGGTGGTTCCTCAACCCCGTCACGTACATTGGTTCCGGCATATGCAGTATTTGTGCACTTGGGATCCAGCTTACTTGGTCAAATCATTCACTGGATTTGAAATGCCCTTTCGTCCCCCCGCCCCTCCTCCCACCAACACCACTAGAGACGTCTCGATGCCAGAAATCGATTTGTCGGCAGTAGCGAATAGATCAAGAATGTGATCGGCTGAAGAACCCAGATCAATCAATAGCTTAATGATCCTTGCACCCCTCTGTGATCGCATTTCTCGGCCGTACCTGATGCTAGACCACTTGAAAAATAGGAAGATTGACAAACCTCTATGTCAGTGTGTGCGCTCAGGACGCGTTCTCTCGTTGGGAAGAATTTTCGCTGAACACGACTCTACGCCCCTCCCCCTCCCCCGCTTCCTCCCCCAAATTTGCCTTTCGACTTTTGACACGACTCCCCGTTCCTGGTCCAGTCTATCTGGCGACTTACCAATTTATCGAAATTTGCCGGGTGAAGAGGGGGGAGGTGTGTAAACACCCCCGATGAACTGTCAGAAATAGTATTTTCGTGGTGCCAACCACTGGGAAATTTTAAGCGCGTGGACGGGAAAAATCAACAATGAGTCTACCAACCAGATACGATCCCCCTACCCTTGGGGATCCCAACGCGCGAAGTCCCCTGAGCCTAAAGCCCCCTTTGAGCCTAAAGCCACATTTCATATCCAGATGGGCGGAGGCCACATTTCACGATATCCAGATGGGCGGAGACCAAGAACTCCTGAAGGCTTTCTCCTTGTTACGTCCTCTTTTTCGTATTGAGAAACGAGACGTACCACTGAGAAAGGCAGAAGCCTCCACCTACCCGACGACCGCGGGATATTTTTTTATCACAATTACAACTACCATGAAATATTTTCTGCTGGCGATAAAGGTTTCATACTGTCCAGATAATGGCATACCATCGGATTCATTCATAGCCTTGGATGATTTCAAAAATGACGACGGTCTGGCAGCATATTTGGATATGGTTCAACATAACGACACAGAGTATCTGAGGTGAATTCCTCTGCGAATTTCACAAAAGCTTATCCCAGAGAATCAATCAAACGGTAGTGCCCACCAAAAGGCACTGACAGGAATCGTTAATGCAGTCAAGTCTACCAACAGTCTTGTCCGTCCATTTTGAACCGGTCAGTACTGCTTTATTAAGGGCAAGGGGTGGACTCGTAGGATTTACGGTAGAATCATTTATGAGTGCGTAGCAGTAAAGTTGCGGGACTGCCGTTGCTTTTTTTGGACCCCGCCTACAAGCAAAATACGCCACGGACACGCACCAAGCTACACGACCGTATCCGAGTGTGAACAGTTTCTTGTTTAACTTGAGCGCCAGTTTTCTACATAGCTCAGATTTGGCACAGGGGCACAGATGAAAAAGCCCATCCCGATCTTCTTCCATTGCTGCAACTCCTCTACCCTTTCCTACCTAACATCCTCCCGATGTTTAGGACTGATAAGAGGCTCATCCACCCCTGCCCGACAGAAAAGCTCACGCTTTGTCTCGCGGTTCGTTGTCTGCACATTTTGATGCCTTGGCAGCTCAATCATCTGTTTCGCTGCGCTCTGACCCCTCGCACCAGGACCACCACGAAAAGTACTAGTTGTCACGTAGCCCTCGAATTTCGTTCCTCTACTTGTAGATACCCTGAAGGTCAGAAAAGGTTCTGTTGTTTAGGTACTTCGAGTGGACTAATTACTATCGGAAACCTTCTACCTATGTGAGTGACGCCGGATGTCGATTGTGCCAAGATCTTCACCAAGGGAAAAGGCGTCACGTAGACAATATCGAAACCTTTTATTTCGATGAGCAATGTGAAGAGAATTATTACTAGTGTGATCTGTTGTAATTGTGGCTCTGGCCCAGTATAGATCAACAGTCCAGGATGTGTTTTGTGTTTTTAGGACCTATATTGACCTAATTATGAGGGGTATGGAGGGTGCTTCTCAGTCGCGGCGAAATAAACGTTTCAAGCGGGGTGGCGCATTAGCACCAGGGCCGAACTCGCTCAGCATGGCGCTGTGGGTCGCGTCCATCTCCCATGTCAAACCGTACTGCATCTCCGCGACTGAGAAGCAACGCCCCTCATCCAACAATAGGTCTGAACAATGTAGCGATTTGTACTGTAATATTTTTTTGAAGTGTTTCACGAATCACAAATACAATCTAAACTTGTGTTCCTGATGAATAACCACTGGAGTGGTTCCGATCAAGAACATCTCCCGAGTTCTGCAACTTTTGAACATTCATTTTACTGATTATACGTCCGGGGGGAGGTCCGGTAGCATGGCCAGGAGAATTAATTGGTGGCGATAACGAGCAGTTGACGCGGCCTGGCGTCTTCTATCTAGTTAACTCGGTTTACTGTAGCATTTTCGTACCAGATCATCTAGGTCGTGCTACAATGGCCGCGTCGCCGGATCTCCTGACCGTATCCATTGTTCACTTAATTTGTTTTCATTTCAGTTTGATCTCCAGTGGTTCCACGACCTGCTCGAATGGTACGAAACATGTTTCCTTGCTGGAGGTGTAATAGGAAAGTGAAGGTTATAGTTCGGTTGCTCTTGAGACTTTTTTCAGAGACGCAGGTATTTGCGGTCCGTCGTGGTCTATTTGGGAGTGCTTGCAGCGGGGATGGTATTACTATTGTTATGGATTCGCAGTCAAGTCCAGCAGGTCTTCGTAAGAATATGTTTAGTGTAGTACAAGGAGTTCTTATTTGTTTGCCCCTGTTGCTTTTTCTCACCGGAGCATAGCCTTTCGCAAAATGAGCGATCGCGTGCGCCATGCGACATATCATTTTTCTCTTCGTTGCGTCCCTTTCGCAGGCCCAGGTAGCTCCACGGGAAAACCCACCTGCGGCACGACCGTCGAACTCACCTACGGCACGCGCTGGGTGCTAGCCGTAGGTGAGTTCGACTTCGCAGCGATTGCGCAACGAAGAGGAAGCAGAGGCCAGCGCTGTACACTCCCGAGATAATCTTGGGAAAGCAAAAGGGCGCTTTTTTCAGTAGAGCGATGCTTGAAGCGTAGGTGCACCTCTAACAGGGGAAAAGTCAGACTTTACGATGTGTAGATACAAAATTTTGTTTGTTGTAGGCACGATCATTCGCCGGAGAAGTGTCTCGTCTGGAAAGAGCTAACCGACTTGTATGGTGTAGATTTGGCAAGAATATCAGTTTCCGGGATGAGGTAACTGCAAAAGAAAATTTGCACATACAACCTTTGAAGTGAAGAATGAAATAATCAAGTCTGATGCCACTCCAATGTGCATTGGGCATCTTTCTGGAATCGTATGGAGTTTCAGTGGCATCTGATAGGGTGTAAAGCGCTAGCACCAAGTCACGGTGTCACGCGCTTCAGAAGCGCGTTTCCTAGTTTGCTGCTAATACAGGCGGGAGACAGAGAGCTAGTTGTCTTATGAGACGCAAACGAGTAGTGAGTTGAGAGAGTCAAGCGCCGGAGCGGGCGGGGGATTGGGTAGCAGTGGGCATACCGCGTACGTTTTGCGCTTGTAACTCCCTTGTCACCGCGCTGTGAACTGGCGCTCCACACACGTATCTGGGATTACCGAACTGTAGAAGGGGGGGGGGTGTGCCAAGGCAATCGTAATATGTCACGCCGGCCATGCTGGCGAGCGACGCCGCGCACGAGAGAGGAATTGTCTGTTGGCTATACCCATGCTTCAATAGATCACATAAATGTCCGCTTTTTTCGATAGTAACTCATCACAATGAAACGTCCTATCAGGGCTAAATTTTGAGTGACTTATTAAGTTGACTTTGAGCGACTACGCGTCATCAATTTCACTATTGTCTCGTCAGACTGCTCCAATGCACGTTTCATAGCAGTTATCCCTTCTAAAATAAATGATGCAGAGGAACGAATGAAAGTGCGAAATACCTACGGCCGAAAGCAAAAAGAGGTAGAATAATTCTTCCAATACCCATACAATTTTTGGGAAATCATAAGGGCTCATTTCAGTATAACTTCCATGTTTTATTCGTGCTTGGTATGTCAGGGATAAAGACCGATGATGATTCGGTTCATCGAGAAGCAAAGGAGCATGGAGATATTCTTCAACTGAACATCAATGAAACTGACGGGAGTCCTACCATGAAGGTATGTTTTGAGGTGAATTTTAAGCTGTAATCTGTTCCAGCATGACAACCCCGACCCGAGTAGTCTGGGAATCCAAAAAGGCAATACGTGAGTTTCTTTCGATTGACTTTCTCAATGTTCTTGTCGCTGCGGGCCATCACTTTTTGGAGACCGTGGGCTGGTAGGCAAACGAAGTCTGTGCCGAAGTGTCTGAAGGGCGCTAGGGACATATTGCGAGAAAGCCAACCCCCTTGCGGCCTCACTCTTCGAAATTCGAGGATTTTGATCAAGGGTCCTCTCGTGGGTTGATTTGCTACCGTAACAGCCTGGTATGCTCGTCACTCCTTCACTAAAGCCCTTTTTGCGTTTTTTTGTCCATATGGTTCTGTTTTTGCATCACTTTCGCACATCTGGCTCCTGTACTTCCGTTTACAGCCGTGCCTTTGAAGCTTCAGGGACAATACAGTGAGAGACTTTCCACAAATACGATGGGGCCTGGCATCATAAAAGATTTATTCAATTCAGAGCTGTTTTCTAAACTTAGGGTGCTTCTACTATTTTGAGGTTATTGCGGCAATGAGGTACATCGCCGGAGCTTGTTCTAGTGTCACAGCTGTACTCAAGATAGACGGCAAGGCCGAGTGGAATGTACTGAACGTGCTGGGTCGTCTGCATCGGACATTCGGTATAGGCGAAACAAAACCATCCACTGCATTCAGTGGAGCTCATTTTGCTTCGAACTTTTCCATACAGGATAAGACACTCATATCCAACGAACGGACGGGGTACAGCAGGGGGTGTGCGGTCGAAGCGGTGCGGTGGGTGTGAGTACGAACGCTCCCAACCCCTTTCGAAATGGGGTTCCAGCGCACGACACACTTCCATGGCTTGTTGCTCGCAACGAATGCTTCTGGGGCGAACGAGCGAGCGATGAGTAATATATGTCGAGCGAAAGGTGGTCGAGGGCGGGGGGTATAACAATAACTATGGCAAAGTATATCCCACGGGCGTAATGAATTGCCCTTTCGCCAGCGAGACAAAAATTACATCATCAAAATTAAATTCTGTCTTACAAAGTACGGACCCCATACCGCTCCCGGAGCAAAAATCCGAGCCTCCCGCCCCCCCAGGTTTGAGGCTCTAACGATGCGTGTACCTCCGTTCGCGACTCCGTTACAAGGGAGGTCGTTCAGGGCGTGGTGAGCTTTTTCAAAATGGTCTTGTGCATATTGTAGGGGCGCATACGAGGACCAGAAAAACTGAGGTTCGTTTTCGCTGCGCTCCCTTTCTACGAAATATAGAAAATAGTTGAGATATAAGAGTTAGTAGGGTTGGTTGAGTGGCTTCGGACCGGTCCCACGCGAGGACAGAAAAATTTTGGCTCTTTCTAGTCAGTTTTTGCATGTTTTTGGATCCCAGGTTCTGCTAAGAATATTGGTCCTAATAACAACAGTTCGACCGATAACGCTGACGAATCCTACCATATGGCGGGCAAACTGCTTTTTCGTTCGAATTCGTTAGTATGCACAGACTCAGCTCTTCGGCACTATGCCGGTGCCAGATGGCACTGGAACCGAAAATAAAGTCTAGAATCGTGATCAGGACTGTCGATTACCCCTAGGAGCAAGTTTTGAGCGAAAAATTTTTTTTGACTTTTTCGGGTTGTAGGTGGCCGACCATTTGGTCGGCAGTGTGAGCCGTTTCACATCTTCGTAACAGCGATGACGTATCGTTGACGCTACGGACACCGGACAACCCAATAAGCAAACCCAAGAAGGTCAAAACAATTGTTTTGACTGAAAATTCGTTTTTAGTGGTAATCAGTGGCCCTGATCACAAATATAACACCTATTCTTGGCGTCCGACGACTCGGCAATAGCGCTGAACGTTTCCTAGCATGGTGTAATAACGAACCTTCAGTGGAAGAAGATGAGGCGCGAGAATTGTGCTCATATAATTGACACCGACAGTTAAAAGTTACTAAATTCGCAATCAGATCCACTGTATAGCCTATGAGGAACAACGTCCAGCAACAGTCTTGTTCAATGGTGCGTGAAAATCGAAATAGTTGAATAGCACTGACTCATGAGTACAGAACTCAAGAATGTGCCCATAAATGGCAAATATCCGAGTTATATTCATGCGCAGACACAGATGGAAGCGAGAACAGCGAAATCTGAAAAATGCAAAAGGCCGCGAATCAAGCGTGGAGCGAACCATCAACCCCAACCTCACTGGTCCGTTGCGAAACTTTATCCATCGTGTAGGCCATGGCCGACTGCTCGACTGCTACCTATACGGCTCTTATCGTTGATGAACCATTGCGAAGACGCCGTTACCCTTGCACATGACCCAAGTTGGAAGCTCACTTACGGCGATTTTTCGCTTCGATTCAAACGGCCCCTTTATAAGGACCCCCACTCAGCAACTGGTCAAAGTTGCAAGTGACCTACGCCGCATAGAGGCCCAGAACGAAGCAGATTCCACAGATTTCTTTTCACGTTTTTTACCTTTCCTGGAAGCGCGCAGCGAAAATGAAGCACACTTTTCAGGTCCTTGCATGAGCCCCACAATATGCAAAAAACCGTTTTCGAAAGCCACGCACCACGCCCTGAACGACTCCCTGTTAGAGGCGCGTCTACGCACGGCACCGCAGTCACAGAGGGAAACGCAGCCACCAAGGGAAAGGAGCATGGACGAGTATAGAGCGGAGCCGTCCGCTAGTGTTTTGGGGAACGTATAAGAATGCGAGTGTATAAAACTGTGTTAGGCATCATAAAGATATGCAGTGAATCGCCAACACAGATATTTACATAGTCTTGGTACGCTCTCCTGTTCTCCTATATCGTTCCCAAAGAAGGCGACCGTCATGTTCAGTCCTGTGGATGCGTTGGACGGTTCGCGGATGCGCTGGTCGACTTATTGTGATCAGGTAGCGATAAAACACAAGGTCTTACGAAACAAGAAATGTGTTACTGTTTGCTGCAGATGCTGTGAGGCGTCATGGAGCTAGTTTGAGCGCTGCCGCCAGACTCGTCGCATGCTCTCACTGTTGAAGAGGGGGAAGCATTCAGCAGTTGCCAAAACGCGGCACTAGCCCTCTGAGACGCCCCCAGCAATGCTGCGCGAAAAAAAATGGCATCGCGAGGACTGCAGAAGATGTGTTTAAAGGTTCTCCGCAAGCACAGCCGCAGTGGAATTCCTATCCCTCCACATGGTGCTGTGGATTTCTCATAACGTGTGCGATAGCGGTACCGTCTTTGCTACCAGTCCTGGACGCATTGAATACCGAGCTGCTGAATCACGTAAGTCCTAGACTTGTTTGGAAACTTTATTTTTTTCATTTTCGGATATAAGGTATGCATGTCAGTTGGAGCCTTTCTCACGCATTTACTTCCTTTCGGGACTTTTGAATAGAAAACGATGTCATTCCGGAGCTACGGCCCGCTCCTTAATGACCCCCTTTGTTTCTGCCTCTCACCGGCTTGGCCCTCTAGCAGGCGTCTCCAAAAATCCCATCGAGGGTCATAATCAGTCTCTGGCGACGTGAGCGTTTTTGGCTGGCGTCCTGCTCATTCACTGGGAAAACTGGAGAAACTTTTGAAAGATGGGGTAGATTGCTGTGTTGGCCCCACCCATCCTAATGCTGATTGAGGAGCAGTTAGTCAGAACTCATTTCAGATGGGAGATATATTTATCACATGGCACTTGGCAGAGAAATCAGGCATCGAACACGTGAATATTACGAGTCGTGACATATTTCATTGAGACGACAAGCGGTGATCTCCCAGTTCGTTTCCAGGTTGATGAGCGATTCCTAAGTTGAGGACTTTTTCGTGCTTTCAGATGCAAAGTGCTTTCGCAGCGATACCTTTAATGACTCAGGAACATGAATTTTTCTTATTTGTGTGTACGTTGGCTTTTTTGATGATGTTGTTAGCAATAAAGGGTTTCGTTGTTCCGTCAATCCCGAAACTAATGTAAGGACAGCGTTCAGACTTGGCGATGACGCGCGTCGCGCTATCACTGCAATGGCGCTCAAATGCTATTGACCGGAACGCAGCAGCTGACGAGTATCGATCGGCGTCGGCCGCTTGTGTTTTGAGAGAGTATAGGACCGCAGGAGGGAAGGCGCTGTGTTGGTTTGGACTGGTACCCTTCTGTTCTTCATTTGAACGTGGTGGTGGTCGCTCTTCTGGTGGTGTATATTCGTTCTTAAAGAGATCATTTTTTTTGTCCAACCAAGACGAGACGACATTTATCTTAGGCGGAAATATCTCAAGAAAAATGTATCCTACGCTCTGCTCAAATGAAGCTCGCAGCAACACCCTGTCCATATTCGGGGTATGGAGTGCAAGACCAAAAGCACACATTGAGGTCGTAAAGGAGGCTATTCCCGGTATGCTGTAACGCAACTGAT